GACATACGTGTTTAAAACTTTTTTGAAAGAGAGTTTTATAAAAATTTCACTTTTCCAATAACGGCATATTGATTTTAAAAATGCCATAACAATTGTTGTTAAACTTAAAGAGCGTAAATCGCTGTGGTCTATATCAAATTTAAATAAACATGTACAGAACTGCAATAATCGCTACAAACTACAGTAAACTTTAAACACAACTACTACAATCATTGCATATTGAAATAATAAATAGTGCCGTTAACAATTGCCTTTAAACTTAAAGAGCGTGAATCGCTCTGGTATATATCAAATTTAAATAAACACATACACTATCACTACAATAATCGCTACAAACTACAGTAAACCTTAAACACAACTACTACAATCATTGCATATTGAAGTAATAAATAGTGCCCTTAACAATTGCCGTTAAACTTAAAGAGCGTGAATCGCTGTGGTCTATATCAAATTTAAATAAACACATACACAACTACAATAATCGCTACAAATCACAGTAAATCTTAAACATAACTACTACAATCATTGCAGATTAAAGTAATAAATAGTGCTCCAGCAGCTCAGACGATAAAGGTGTCATTCACTACGCTGGGGCAGAGCTAGGAGTCGTGAGTTCAATCCTGGCAGCCAACTAAATAACTCTCGTGTACCAGAAATGTGAGTTTTAAATCTGTCGTGGCTGAAAGTCGTCTCGTTAGTCGTGGTGGGGAAATTTGAGACAGAGGAGTATCAGCCCAGTTGTCGTCCTCGTCATTTGACCGGGGTCAAAACTAGATTCAAAATTCGATTTGTCTCAACAGATTGTGCTGCTAATTGGAAAAAGTATTAAACTACTGTTTTTTGCTGAAACCATTCTTTTTAATAATCTGCATGGTCAACTATTAAATTTGTTTACAAACTAAATCACATTGTTGTTGCAAATTCTTGTTACTTTTATAGCTTTTTCAGTCATCTTCGGATCTGTTTACAAACGTTATACGTTATATGAAAACTTTTAAGTTAAAGGTACACTTCCTCATTTCCTACAAAGAGTGCAACAGACCACATGTGTCTATCTCCCTATGTTTTTCTTTAATTAGTTTTTAAAACTGACTGTCAGCTTTTGTGACAATCGGTAAGTATTGATTATCTGACACCAATAAAACGATCTAATACAATCGTTTATCAACTTGTGTTCTTAAATAATTAAGGACAGTTTGACAAATTCGAGATGCAAAAACACGTGCAAACTTAAATACAGTGAGAAATGAGATAAATGAGACAAATCAACTTATATCTGGAGAAGTACAATTTGATTTCAACAATCACTGTACAACTGTACCGACAGTAAATTAACAAAGACAACCTGATGACATCAACTATATTCTCATAGATGTTAAAAAATTAATTTTAGTTTAGTTTCATTTCGCATTTAAATGAGACAAATCAACTTATTTCTGTAGAAGTACAATTTGATTTCAACAATCATTGTACAACTGCACCGACAGTAAATTAACAGAGACAACCTGATGAAATCAACTATATTCTCATAATTGTTAAAAAATTAATTTTAGTTTAGCTTCATTTCACANTCCCTTATAGTGAGCCAAAGACACAAATGAAAAATTTTACAACACATCGCAGGAAAGTACAGTATGACATACAATGCATCATGTGCAGGCAGTACATAGGATTAAAACGAGTAATATTACGGAGTAAGTTGGGTCGCTAAACCAAAACGATCATTAACATTGTGACAGGATATAAAGGACACAAAGTATAAACTGTTGATGTATTCAAGAACAGTAAAACATAAAGTGAACCATTAAAAAAAACGTGTACCTGAAGTGAACATAAGAAAACATTAAAAGGTCACAGGTAAACGGAGGTCCTAAGTTAATATAGGTCAAAGAACCAATACAGTCGATGACAAATTGACAACAGGTAAGACAGAAGAACAAGGCGTAATGAGCCAAGAAAATCTCAAATGTAAAACAAAAGGAGGTGAAGATTATATAAACTTAATATGTAACAACAAAAGTTAATATAAATTTCATACGTAAGCAAGATTCGTAGAATTCTTGAAATATTTAAAACTAGTAGGAAATAAAATGCATTTTATTAAGTTTGTATCTACCACTATGTTTAATAAATATATTTAAATAAAGTTATTTAGTCGTCGGGCCTTGTGTGAAGGATATTTAATATTAAAATTTAAAAAAAAAAAAATCTATAACGTCTTTATTTGAGTGTTAACCCCTTGGGGACGGGTGATTCATAAAAGCATTCGTATCAAATCAGGATGTAAATAAATAAAAAACGGTGACTTAAATGTAAGAGTTGCTAATTTGACAGACTTACTTTGCTTTTACTTTAATTATTGTTAGTTTAATCACATATATAATCAATGTTCGTTCGTTCGTTGTTGTAGAACTGGGCATCTGAGGCCTAAATGGCCCTTTTCCCATTCATCTTGAAATATCCCATGACGGGAACATACATAGGAAAGATGTGAAGTAGGCTCGGAATAGAACCTGAAATGAGGTAAAAATGAAGAAAGGAATCATGTGAGGTGTAGCAGGCATGATGGTGGGTATATAATCAATGTGAATTCAAAGTATAACTAAATAGTTTTATTTTGAACAAAGTAATGGTGAATTAAATAAATTAAACAATTATAACTCCGCCCACAAATAAACTGCTAAAAACTACTTTGATTTCCAGTTTTATCTTTTTACCATGATTGATACGGTTTAATGCTGGCACATATTTGTGACAGTCGGCGCGAAAGGGTTAACACAACTTTTTAAATTATGTAAGAACCATACGAACTCAGGTAAAAATGGAGACAACAAAAAATTAAAATAACAATTTACAAAACTTTTACAGTAACAATCGATTATGCAATAGAAATTTAATTATATATTCCAGGACGTCAAGACACAACACATGAGTGATTAAATTCTAAAAATATTTTAAAATGTATTACAATTTGCTTTTTAAAAGTAATGAATATTTAAGCGTTAAATTCGGAATTGCAACGTTTGTTGTATTTTCCTACGTTAAATCTTACCAGCCAATTTAACTTTTATATTTGAGTTGGCAGCCTTTTTGCTTGTTTTGAAGATTTTTTGCAGCTATTTATTTTGCAAAAGTGGTGTAGTGGGGTCGACGAACAGACAAATCTAGTTAAGTTCTAGGATTTCGGGAAGAAATTTATTTCACTTTAGTTTTTCTCTGGATGTTTAATGCTTTCTATTTTAAAGAGGTTTATGTGAGTTTTCAACAAATAAACTTTTATATCATTTGAAACACGAGTTGTTTTGATAAAAGGTAAGATCATATGAAAAATATAAAAGTTTAAATTTGTTTTAATTTAATCTTAGTTGTGATTTGAATTAAGGCAACTCTTTGTAAGAAATAAGACAACTGTAATAAAAAAAACAATGATTGGATAGTTGCGCATAAACAAAACAATTATTACCTACAAAATTTGCTTATTAAGATAAGATAATTTTACATTAAATTTATATTGATAAGATGATTATTGTACGATGCGCATGCAGGTAATCAACTTTCTCAATTTTTGAAGAAAAATATAGATGAAAAACTAAACATAAAAATATAAAGAAGTGGTAGACGAGTAAGTCATTTTTTTTACTTTTGTTGTTTCGTGTTTTTAATCACAATTTATTTAATCGCAAATTATATAATATTTTTAAATCGCAAAAAAAGCGAAGTTTTCTAAATCCTATTTTTTCGTGGCTGACGTACAAAAGTGAGCACCTTGAATGACCTTTGATCTAATAATCGGATTTTCACTAAGTGAGATTCAATTTTAATGGCTTGAATGGCTTAATGGCTTCAAATTAAGAAATAGGGCACACAAACTGTACCCTCTCTTAATTAGCATATTTTTTTTCGAGGGATTCGGATTTTTTTACCCTCAAACGGGATAAAGCGGAGAAGCCGTAATACTGAAAATATCGCCTCTATAACTTGAAGCCGTCGAAATTTTGAACCTGTTAGTGTTAATTTTACTTTTTACTTATTTACGATGTTTTTGGAACTTTCAAAGCGAATTGAAAAATGTTAGCACACAATTATGAATTTCGTTTATCCGATTAAGCAAAAAAAAAAATTTAAAAATTCTTTAATATTTTTCAATAATTTATTTAATGAGAGCTGAAATTTTTTTTAATTTCAAGATATGCAGATTTTTACATCGAAGCATATTCGAAATGACAAAATACAAAATTTGAACAAAATCGGTAGAATACTTCTTGACAATTAATTTAATATATGACTTTAAATATATATTTATGACATATTTAAAGCCATATTTAAAAATATATAGTATGACAATATATATTATGACATATTTAAAGTCATATTTAGATATATATATGATGACAATATATATTATGGCAACATATGTAATGACATATTTAAAGTCATAATATATATTATGACTTTAAATATGATTTTAAATATATGACAATTTTCAAACTTTGATTTGATTATCAAATAAAATTTCAATATATACTAGACAATTTTCAAACTTTGATTTGATTATCAAATAAAATTTCACCATATACTAGACAAATTTCAAACAAAAGAAGCAAATCTCAAAACGCTTTTCGTAAAAATTCTATTATGGTTAGTTCTTTACTTTCAAATTAGCGATAAATTAAATCATAAAAATAACTTTATGCGTCAAAAAAGTATATGTAAACTAAATTTATTGGCAACCACTGTAATTTATTTAAAGTTTTGAAATCGAATTAAATTTGCGTGTAAGGGGCCGTTCAAAAAGTACGTACACAAAAATGGAGAAATTTTAATCCCCTCCCCCCCCTTCGTACATTACCGTACATAAGGTCTTACCTCCCCCCCCTTAGAGTACGTACATTTTATTTGTCTACCCCCTTTTTTCATAAAAATTAAAATAATTATGTTTTAAATAAAATTAAATATTTATTTAAAATAACTTATTCATGTAAATTATTTAAACAATAACACCCAACTTTATCTTTGAATCAATAAATAAAACAATCTTATCGGATCAACATAATACTTTCCCACAATCAAACTTCAATTTTTCAATCAATTTTTTTATTAATCTACAGTATTTTCCCAAGGACATTCCAAATGCTTTTCGAGAGACACCAATTCAGCGTTACTCTCGTCTGCGACTGATGAAAAATTAAGATTTTCTTCATCAACGAGATCATCTTCGATCCACTCTGCATGATCTTCGCTTTCCTGGTTTCGGAGGATAACCAAAAGTTCTTTCTCTCGACGAGCTGCTACACGAACTGGTCTTACTTTGTTGATTTGCAAAGGAGATTTGCATATTTTTTTGTGATCTTTCAAACAAGTTAAAGATGCAAAATATATACCACAAGTAGGACAGATTTTGCGTTTAATATCACCTTCTACCGATGGGCATGCTGCATCGTATGGTATTTCTGTGATGGAGTTCAACCCTATTTTTTGTTTAACAGCAGCTTTTACAATTGGCTCCAGCGTTTGAGATAAAAATAATGATGGAAAAGTTCCTCGTGGTTGATTAATATCAAGACCATCATCAGTTTGTGCTATGGGCACAGGCGCTGATAAAAATCTGTTAGGCACAAGCTTAAGAATTGAACTCCGAAATTTAGAACAACAGGATTCATCGTTACACTTAACGATTTGCAGTAGATATTGGCTGTTTCTCACGTGCTTAGCTTGCCAAGTCAGATCTTTTTCTCGAATTTGTGAAGAACACAGTTCCGAGTTTTCCGGGTGAATGTATTGACTCATAACTGGAAACTTGTCAATTTCTACATCAGACCATATTTCCGCTAATACCTTTCCTGCTTCTGCAAAATTTTTTTCTTCGAGAACTTTATCAATCGTTTCACCTCTATTGTTTAGATGACTACCAAAATGATCGTGCGGAAGAATCACGCCACTTAGCTCTCTACTCAACGGTGCCATGCGTCTTTCGACTCGATTGTACGCGCTTCTTCCAGGAGCATTACAGGCTATAAATAATGCGTCGAGGTTTTTCGTTATGAAATGATGGATAGCTATTTGGATGACTTTAATGTACCGTGGGTTTTCATCGGGGCCTCCGTCTACAGTGAAAATCCCCACAGGTTTGACTGAATCATCATTTTGTTTCAAAAATCCAGTAAAAGCAGGCAGTTCGAAAATATGTTCAATATCTGCTGCATGCGAATAGGCAGTCGACGATGAATGCTTAGCAGATCTTATAGTTATATAAGTCGGTCCCGAGTATGTCACTGCACTTTTTTTTTGTATTTGATTATTTTCAATGTTGATGAGAGCGTACACGGAAGGAATGAGCTTGTGAGATGGAGCTACTACCCAGTCGTGGTCCGGTAATTTAACACGATATTCTACATGCATCAGTAATGGTGATTGCTTGTTTGCAGCAGTTATCCCAATCGGCACTCGAGATTTATCATCCTGACTTATGAAAAAAACCTCATTTGGACCCAAAATTGATGCCAACAGTTCTAAATTTTGTATAGTTGCAGCTGCAAACTTGGAATCCACATGGGTTTTGTGAGTTTCATTTTGTGCTTTCATCAGTTTCACTGGAACTGTTTGAATATGTCGTTTTCCTTCTCTTGAATTGAATTGTCGTGGTAATAATCGTAAATAAACGCCAGATCTACTTATATTATAACCATATTGAGTTTTCAAAACATTAGTTAATTCGTCTAATGTTTTAATAGAACGAATCGTTTCTGTTCTGCGCTTTGGATCAGCTGCACTTCCATAAGTCGCAATTTCAATAATAGTTTTGAAGAGATCAGGCTGATTTTCCTCAACGGTAGGTCTTCCTTTCTTTTCTCTTATCAAAGGCGATGCAGACTTGTCACTTTCGGAAATTTGAGCAATTTTTCTTTTAAAGTTAGATCTGTTTTTTTGTGCACGTTCTCGTTCTTTCTTTAATTTTTCTAATTTACTTATCTTTTCTTCCAGTAAGTCCCTCTTTTCTTTCAACTCTTTTGCTTCTCCTTCTTTCAGCAAATTCGCGTTTTGCTTCTTTTTCAGTGTTTGCACTTCACTTTCCAAAATTATGATTTCTTGAGATAATTTATCTTGTGCAGGTGTTTTAAATTTTGGTTTGCCTGTCTTTTTATTATGCTCATCCTGGCAAAGGTTGTTGGTTTCGTTTGAAGATGATGCCTCACTTGTTTTGGCTTCGTTACTATTCACATTCGAACAATCTGAAGATTTTGTTGCATTTTGATTTTGTGTATTCTGAAAAAAAATATTATGTTTATTTACCGTAAGCTGAAGAATTTTATTAAATGAACAAAAAATTAAAACAAAATCACGTAAAGTCAAGTATTTGTATTATTATACCATTATCCAGAATGAATCAAGTGTGCTTCTCTTCTTTTCGCTAGAAGACATAAATCACGTATTTTTTGATCGACCTTTTTTTCAAAATTGTCACTGGTTTTCACATCATTCCAAAAATCACTTGCAATCTGTTGTGATTTTCCAGGTTTCAATTCAGGAAATGCAAGCTTGTATTGTGCAAATAACTCTTGGAATTTCTTGTTTTTATCCATTGTAAAATTTATAAACTAAAATGATAAAAATAATGAAAAAATTTGTAAAATAAAATTATATGCATTTATAATATGACTAAAAAGCTGTTATATAAATTTATAATTACCTGCTACACAGAAAGAAAAATAAATTATGTTTTGTCTAAAAAGATTTCATCAAAAATTACTATTTGCAGCTGATAGACGCAAAAGGTTTTTATTCTTTTAACAGAAATATTAATAAATCCCTATTGATTTTGGAGATAAAATCTAAAAAAAATTCATTTAGCGACTCTTTATCCCTGTACTACTAGGTGACATACGACAAAATACATACATATTTCGTTCACATACAAATATAGGGGTACATACAATATAACATATTTCTAAATTCATCATTATACATCTTCATTTTATCTGCACTTAAAACCATACATAAACTAAAAATAACGTAGTGTCTATTCAAAAGTCTGTATAATCTATTAAAAGCCACTATATTTAATGTGACTCATAAAACATACTATAAAAAAATAATCATTTATAACGCATTAAAACATCGAAGTCAAACACTGCTAACAAGTATTGACATAACTTGTAAAGAGTAAAAAAATTTAAACAGTAAAAGCTAGGCATGGCTACCACGTGTTAAAAAATAACTGGAAAAAATAAAAGATTTTGATAAAGAAACTAGGAAATTTAAAGAATGCAGTTAATATATTAAAATATACGTTGAAAGCAAAGATATAATTTAAAATACAGTGTTTTAATAATCACTGTATCATAAATACAGTGTTTTAAAATATAAAGCTTACCTATAAAAGAAATCCAAACAGCTGGACAAAGGATTCCAACTTCCTTTCTAAAAAAAATTCTTCGAAAACTGCACACAGGAGGTGTCCGATGTCGAGCAGTCGGTGTATGGGATGGAGAGGGAGGGGAGAAAAGAATGATGGTGCCCGCGAAATGGAAGGTGGAGAAGTATGAGATTTCGATTTACTCATTTTAACAAGTGGTCGCCGTGTAAAAAAAAAAATACAAGAACAAACATATGTATAATAGGAAAAAGTCAAATTTAAATTTGGTGTATGCTTATAATGTACGTACTTGGTATAATACCTCCCCCCCTCCCCATCGTACAAAACCGTACAAAATAGCAAATACCCCCCCTTCGGGATGTACGTACTTTTTGAACGGCCCCACACAGAATGTTCAATGAGAAAATTGAGGTTTGTCAGCTGCAACCACCAGAGAATAGATATTTACATTTTAAATTTACAAATGTGTGTGTAAATATTTTCGTCCAAAATAAGTGGTTTCAAAAAGTTAAATCGGAGAATTTTTTCGAGAAAATTTCCGATATGCACATGCTAAATTATATTCTCAAAATACCAAAAAAAAAAAAAAAATGAAATAAAAAAACATTCAAATGAAATAAAAAAGCATATTTATAAAAAAGCATTATGAAATAAATAGATTACTTTTGTATTTGAATAAATATTTTCTTGGATGCAAAACTTGAGAAATAATTTCTTTTGTACCGTTGGTATGATAAATTGCACAGAAACGAAGAATTTAGGTTTTTATTAACGAGAAAAGTATTTTAAACCCATATAGATTTTTCTACGAAAATTGTCCGCAAAAAAATGACAACTAATATAGTTTAGTTCGCTGGCCGGATGCGGCCCCCGGGTCGCCAGTTGGAAACCACTGATCTAGACAGAGAAAAATATTGTTTAGCCTATTGTTTAAAACGAATTCAGGTGTAAGGACTTGAGGAGGGGTTGAAGATAACTGGAATATTTCAATACAGTTATGCAGTGCATTCGGCTTGGTTACCATTAAAATTTGTATGTTCTACGCGATAGTTTTGAGAGGGGACCAATCAATTCGCCTAAGGAGGCTAGCACTATTATATTTGTAAAAATATCTGTTTATTCTCTTCTAATTCTTGAAATTTCCACAGAATTTTTTTTATTTATTTCCACAATTTTTCTCGATCGAATACTTTCTGTGGTGACTCAATTTTAAATTTAAAGAAGTTAATGATGCCTTTGTAACTAAAATATATCAAAATGAAAATGATGTATGGCAAAGCCGTCAAATGCTTTGATTTTCGCAAAAGATTTTTACTTATGATAAAAAATTTTATAATTTAATATTTTATTCTTTTTTCGATAAATTTGATTTAAAATGATTTTTAACCGTTAGCATGACACCTGAATAATTAAAATATATAATAAGCTCTGGTAATTATTTAATGCTATTAAGTTCTGGAGAAATGGAGATCATAATGGAGAAATTAAGATAATTTTTATTTACTTTAAAATGCTTTTAACCTATTCTGTCATTATTATTATGAAAAGTATTAAAAAAAAGCGTCTAAGTTGAAACTTATAAGTAAATCAGTTCTAATGGATATAATAAAAAAAAATTTGATAATCACTTTTTTTAAAACAGAAATATGGTATTCATCTTCCTCGCAACGATTTATAGATGTTTCAACATAAAATTAACTGTAGGGTAATATTTGAAAATTGAAAGAGGTTGTTAAATAGACGTTTATTTTACCGTTTATCAGAAATTTACTTTTCCCCAATTTTTTTTTATTTAATGTTTCAATATTTAGCATTTAATTCAACCGATAACAAAAAGTATATTGTTTCTTTTATTATATTATAACCCAAATTTCTGTTTGATTGTTTAGGCATTTTGTTTATTTAGGAATTTTTTTTAGTTTTTTTGACTAATCAATACCATTTTAAAATTTTTTTAAATATTATTAGGCCGAATAATATTGAGACCGAACTCACTACCCCCTTATTTTAACATTACAGGATTGGCCGAATCAAATAAGTTAATTTTTAATAACGTACAATAAGTAACTATTTAACATATTTTTCAATCTTTTAAATCAGAGAAAGGATACATATATATAACAAAGCCCCTCTTTTTATCCTTTTACCTCAATTTGAGCTTCTGTTTTCATATTTTGTAATCTGGCAATCTTGTTAGGAAAATATTTTAAATCATTTTTGAAAAATTCCGGTACGTGTAAGTTCTTTGAATTCGATACTCGCTTTATAAATTTCGTTTTCTGCTTTTTTCTGTTTTTTCTTTACATTTTATTTTCTGTTTTTACGTGATATTTTTACTTAACGTGTTTGATTCTATTTGTTTCGAAATTTTTTTTTGAGTGCTCCTTTTTTTTAATAGAAAATTGCATAATTATTTTTAGCTTTGTGTATGGGGATAGTTAAAAATTTTTTTTGCAGTTGCATAATTGATCAATCAATGTTAGAAAAATTTGTTTTTTGTTACTGTTATTTAAATTTTTTTTATTATTAAAAATTAGTTTTTAAAGTAATAATAAACAGCCCATTTCCATTTTGTTCCAGTGGGGCGTGGGCCCCACGTTGGGAAACACTGATCTAAATTTTATGCCTTTTAACATTAAATTATTTGTTCTAAGTTTTCGATAATATTTGAATTAACAGTAATAATATGTTTATGATATTCATCAGCAAATTCAAAATATTTCTCTTCACAATATCTTTATTTTTTTTGCGGATATAATCGCGTGCGGAATAAAAGCTGATTACGAGATTATACCTTTACCTTAATTTGTTTTTCAGCATTTTTAATTTTCATCTTCTTTTTTAAATTTTAATTATTTTTAAATATATTTTATTTTAGTAATTTTTTCATCTTCTCTTTAAAATTTTTTTATAGATTTTTTCCATACTTGCTCTATATTTTTAACTTATTTTGTGAGTTCTATGTACATATGTGCAGTAAATAAAGCGTATTATTTTTTTTAATTTTTTTTCATTAACTCTCTTTTCTGTTATCCTTTTTGTCTTTATTGTGTTATATATATGTAATAACAGGGCTACATTCCTGTTATCAGTGTTGTATTTAGCTTGAAATAATTGCAGTCTTAAGCCATCAGACGTTCTAAACAGGTTTATTTAAATGTAGGCTGGTATTGCTAACAGCTCACGTCCCCACTCCTGCAAAGGAGGGGAAGTGGACAAGACTCCGGACAATTCCGGCACAGCTTATCAGGATCAAATCATGATGAAAAGGACACGCAAAACTATGCGTTCTTACGTTTTATACCAACACAGATTTGAGGTAAAAAGGCACACTGTCGTACATTCCTTGTATCCTTACGCATTAAGGAAAATCATTTCTGCTTCCTTATATGGAAGTGAAAAAGGGAACGATTCTAAAAATAACTCTTCCTTTGAAATATAAATCTATTTATATTTCAATGGTATGTTTTCAGCCTTG